ACTGAAGTAACAAATGTGGGAACTTTTGACACCACTGCTAATTGGTGACTTATTGTATTAAATGAAGCGTGTGCTTACTTTTAAAAGCTCTTCCTTTGGTCCATAAACTATACGTTCAGTTTTGTTTTAATTCAGCTAAAAAAATTCATACAACCATGCATTAATTTTATTCTATGCATTTACCCAGCACTTGAATGGGTTCATAGTCACATGGTGACATCATAATACATAGCTGTGTGTCGTCTGCATAGTTATGGTATCTTATGTGGTTGACTAATAAGATCTGAGTTAGCATTTAGATATTGAATTGGATGGGCCGTAAGGTGGACCCTTGGAAAATGCTATTTGATTTCTGTGGTCTCTGAGGTAAAGTTAAACACTTTCACAAAAAAGCCATGTTCTTCAGGTAGGATTTAAACTAGTCGAGTGCTTTGCCAGAATATCCCTCCCAGTTTTCCAGGTTCTATACTAACATCGAGTGATCAACAGAAATTCTGCGCTAAGTTCCAGTAATACCAGCGCTGTGGTTCTTCAATTGTCTGCATTCATTCTGATATTATTGAACACCCTGACAAGGGCAGTCTGTACTTTGGTGAGCACAGAAGTGAGACGAGTGAGACTAGAAGACATGACAGTGGTTGGTTATTAATAGGAAGGTGTTCAACTGTTGAAACACAACTTTCTCAATAACGTTACTGATGAAGGGAAGGTTTGAGATAGGCCTGTAGATCGGCAGTAGCAACTTCTTCAAGCTGCACTTTTCAACATTGGTTTGATAATCGCGAGAGGGTGAAAAAGAAGAGTTGTAGTTTGACAAAGAGAACATAAAGAAGCAATGATCTCTGATCACCAGTGCTACTTAAACAATTTTTTTAATTAAGTAAAAATACATAGGGGTATTCCAAGAAATGACTCAAGTAAGAGTAAAAAAGTGTTTTGTAAAAGGGCTACTTAAGTAAAAAGTACTTGCTTAGAGTTTTGTCTTGTGATGTTTACAAATGATTTAGTGAGACATAATTTATTTGCAAATTCTATTATTTTAAATACTGAAATACATAAAAACACATAGAGATGTTACTATAAAATAAAATAAAAAAACATGCAGAAAATTTTAGTTATGAAACTAATCCTCTCGGTGAGAAATAAAACTTTGTTAGTACAGGGTGAAGAACTTTTACTGATGTAGCGTCAACTGTTTACTGTATATTTACCTGATCTCTGAATAATTCAAGTTACTCACAGCGGTCAGAATATCCAAAAGTTTTTCTCAAGTAGGAGTAGTAATACTTCACAAGATTATTATTCAAATAGTAGTATGAATTACATTACAGTAAAACTACGGATATAAAAAATGTTCTTCAAAATGTTACTTAAAATGTAACTAAGCTATGGTAAATAATTAAGATGCCAAACCATATCAAATGTCAGGGTGACAGTGGCGTTGGACGAAGGAGTGTGCTCTGCAACCGGAGGGTTGTCGGTTCAAGCACTGGCTCCGACTTTCAGTATTGATGTGTCCTTGGGCAAGACACTTCTTACGCATTCCCTACTGATGGTGGTTAGTGGGCCCGGTGGTCAGCGGGCCTGGTGACCAGTGTGCAGCAGCCTCGTTTCTGTCAGTAAGCCCCAAGGCAGCTGTGCCTTCGACATCAGTGTGGGAGCTAATGGGTGAATTACAAAACGTAGTGTAAAGTGCTTTGGTCAAGTACTCTGACTTGAAAAAGCTCTAAATAGGTACATTTACTTCTTTGTTTTTAGAGGAGCAGCACTTCTGCTTCGATCTCCCTAATGGAGTTCCTCAAAAACAGATTACTTCACCACAATGGATGCTTATTGTGCTACCTGGAGTTGCATTCCGCTGTTTCCATCCAGGATTTCCTTTTTTTATAAGCTATATTTCCAGAGCTCTGCTTTGTGATCTTGTTTATTAACACTTGAAACAGAATCTGAGAAGAAACATCATGAGAACGTCCAAACTTTTGTTCAGGCTCATTTTCAGGTTTAGAACACAGTGGGTTCTGCATTAGAAAGACTTGATCTTGTCCACTGTTCCTCAGGCAGGAAAAGTGTCATCACTCTCCCATATATTAACAATTAACCTGAACCTCATTTCCACTACATTTGGTAAAACTTCTATCATGAGGATCAGAAATGTGATTTCTTTATAACTGCACTGAGCACAGTTAAAATAAGAGTTACTTGATGCCTGTGCCCAAGTAATTCCAGTTTTTCTCCATGATACATTTAGTTTCTTGCCAAGCTTGTTTGTGCATTTAGATGTTCTAAACTTAGGCTAATACATTGTTATTTTTCTTATGCTCATCAGGAGGTCACCAAGAGCCTCTGGCAGCCCGCCTACACACTCATATTAAAACATGATTTTCAGAAAGCCCTCAGAAAATACACGACACAATCAAAGTACAATTTTGCTTTCTCATACCTTATTAACAATTTATATCAGTGCCGCATTACAAATTGAATGTCGATGGTCTTTTTGTGTGATTTCATTTTTTCAATGTTTTCTTTGTAATGCCTTGGTTTTGAAGTCTGGCTGATCTCCCGCAGCCTCTGCAAACTGAGCAGGATTTCCCTCCTCCTAACAGGATTTGTTTCTATACTCATTTTTCCTTTGCCAAGCTTGAAATTTTTAGGTAGCAAAACAATTTATTTTTGCTGAACTTCTTTTTAAATTAGTTATAGATAAAACAATAATAAGGTTGATTTTTCCCCAAACTTGTGGTCTTTGTGTTGGGTTAGAACACCCGTGTTGAATCCTATCTGAATAAAGCTGTGCAAATTTATATATGACTAAAATTATTCATACTGGCTAAATGTACACATACACATATGCTTATATTTGGTTAAATGTCAATTTGTGAGCAGACCTTTGGGGTTTTGTACAAAATTCCGAAGCTCCTGGTAAAATAGTGCTAGTGTGAAGCTCATTGCAAAACCAGCTTGATACGTTTTTATTATAATTCCTTTGTTGGAAAACTAATGTCATCCATCAGACCAAACCTTTCCTTTGTCAGATTGAAGGAAAGTGCTTATGAAGTTCAGGAACCATCAATGTTCAAAGCTATCACAAGCTGAAAGAATTAGGAATCCCTGTGAAGGAACATCCCCAGTGAAGTGAGTTGAATACAAACATTGAGTGAGAGGGGGTACAGACCTATAAACTTAACTTAGATTTACAGTTTTCCACAATGAGATTGTTTTAGACCATAATTTAAGAAATTCATTCACAATTAGAAGGAAAGCGTTTGTAATAGACAAGATAAGGCTTTCAAAACAAAAATCCTACCATCTGCCACCATGTTTGTGGCTTCTCTCTGATGCTGGTGATCCCACCTGTTCTGATAAACGGAGAAAAAGTGGGAGAAACCAGTTCTTGTGACAAAAAAAAATATATATATATATATGCAATTACTGTATATACACAATCAGATTTGGAGAAAACTGAAATGGATGGATGATAGATGGATGGATGGATGGATTGATGCATGGATGGACAGATAAAATGGTTTCTAGTATATACATTCTACCCAAAAGAACATTTCATATTTAAATAAATAAATGATAAAATCTGGTATTTATGTTTCATATGCCTGCCCCACTATTTGATGAAACATACATTTAAAGTTACGCCTTGAACTCTATATCCTCTTATAGTTTTGTTTTGTTTCCCTATCTATGCTACAGTAGGTAGTTGCTTCAAGAATAGATGTGTATTATTGGAAATGCAGCAGAGACAAAGTCTGCTTCCTTTTAGCCTGAAATATGGATTTAATTAAACCCTTCCTCAAAGGTGTGAATCCAATTTGGAGCAAAATGTGTTGCACACAGAGCAGCAAGGTGTGAACATTACTCACATTTTCCTCCCATGAGATGCGAGTAGCAATTAAAACCTGCGGCAAGCACTGCAGTATGTTTCTGTGAGCTCAAGCTCCTGTCAGAGGAATCATCTTTAATCAGCACATATTACCAGATAAAGAGAGATAACATTTCTGTCTGTGCACCTTATGTCTCTACAATAATACCCTCTGGGGACCTGTTTGGCTGCTGTTTTCTGAGATTGTCCTAATTAAGACTTGATGTAAGGATTACATAATATCCAGAAATCCCCCAAAGCAAGTCATGACGTGTGATCCCTTATATATCTGGAGGTTTGAAGGCAGCCTTTTTATATCAGAGTCTCCATTAGCCTTGGTTTAATGCTGTAAATTCCCACCATTGCATCACAAAACATTTACTATCCTTATAGTTCCTAGTTTTTAAATGGTATTAGCTTGTAATTTGATGAAGATCAGCAGAGTGGAATACTGTTTGGGGAGTTTTACTCAATTTGTACCACATTTTCCTTTCAATGTCTCACTAAGAGAGAAATTGTTGTTTTTGTTGTCATTTATTTTGTCATATATAATGTACGACCATCAAACTGATGAAATCAGGAATTAAATAACCAGGATTTCTTCATTCGAGTCCTAGTCAAAACTGAATTACTTCTCTATTGTGTTTTTGTTGCAGATGTTGATATTCTGCGGCAGTTTGGGCTTTTTGAGCGGAAAATGGATGTGCCATCACCAATAGTGGCTCGCTTTATTCCGGCTGGCATCATCCCCTTCAAGTCTGGTGTCATCCTCACACCCCAGGCCAATTTCCAGGTTCCACTCCGTACCATTATCCCTGCCAACTATGACACCACCAGCCTTTCCCTGATCACAAGTCTCTCTGTTCATCGCTTCAACAATGCTTTCCTTTTCTCCATCCTGTCTAAGAGAAAGAAGGTCCAACTCGGTGTGCAGTTCACACCTGGGAATGTTTTTGTACATATGGGACAAAAGAGCTCTGTGAGTTTTGACTACAATGTCTACGATGGCCGTTGGCATAATTTTGCTTTGAATGTTCGAGGAAACCAGGTGTTTTTGCACACATCCTGTAATAACCAGAGCTTACAGGCAAATTTGTCTTTCAAAAAAGGCTATACCCTGGATCCAGAGGGTTCCTTCCTGCTGGGCAAAATGAACCACGATTCAGTGCCATTTGAAGGTGCAATCTGTCAATTTGACATTTATCCCTCTGCAGAGGCAGCTCATAACTATTGTGATTACATTAGGAAACACTGCAGAGAAGTTGACACATATCGGGGTGTTTTTCCCACTGTACTACCTCTATTTTCAGACCCAAATGTTACTTTCACTCATAGAACTTCATTTTTACTGACAAAGAAGCCAAAAAAGGCCCAGGTGCCATCTTTAGATTCAAGGACTACAACTATTTGTCCAGCCGATGGGCTGCTAATGTTGAAAAAAACATCTTTATCTGCAGAATATGCTGATGCATCTATTCCTCCACAAGTAAAAACTGAATTGGAAAACCCTTTCAAAGTTGAAACTGTTACTACATCTCTGCGAACCATGGAGCCATCCGATCTGGAACACACAGCAAAAAACAAGAAACTAAGGGGGTCTTCAGATGATTCTGGAAAAATTTTATTCTCAACTGTTTTCATGAAACCACCATTGATGAAGCCTGCCCTCAAGCCCTCTGCTGTTCCATCACAGGGGTCTCTTTCTTACACCTACTTTCTCCATAAAAAGGAGCTGACAACGGTAGCTCTAAGGAAACCTGACCTGAAAGTGACAGGTGATTTTAAATCAACCACACTTCCTGCTTTGACTTCAGCTGCAAAAGATGACATTCAGACATTTGACCAGGAGCCGACCCACTTCTCACTGCTTGCTGGACCTCCTGGGCCAAAGGGAGAACCAGGACCACGGGTAAGTGCGAGAACAATCCCAGTGTAAACCTGTAACAGAAATCTTTGAACAGATTTGGGGTAGTGTAAATCCATTAATGAATGAAAGAGTTTGTTCAAACTGTGGCAGATCCAGAATGTGGTGCTTAACATTTCAGCAAGCTGTTTAAGTGTTGGTTTGGTGGTCATTCAGTTTTGACTCTGATAAATGTAATCCAAGCCCCTGTGTAAAGTCTTTATATATCCATCACTTTTTAATTTTGATCTCTGTGCAAATTACATTTGCGCTGTAGAACAACTTAAAAACAGTATTTTACTGCTATGCCACTAGTAGGTCATATACTCTTTAAAACTCAACAGGCACATACTAACAGAGATGCCTGCTTAATAACGGAACAGCACCAAATAAACATTCATAATAGCTTGCAATCAAATGTTTTTATGGACAAATAATGATGGTCAACTTTCGGTTCAGGCTAGTTGGGAAATCTAAAACCACCCCTGTACTCTAGTTTATAGGGTGTTTATTTCCATTTGAGGGCAATAAGTTTCAGAATCCTTCCATCGCACTGGAATCACATTTTCATATCGAGCCACTGTTAGACAAAGTGTGCCATTGTGTTGTACGTAAAAGTAAGATAGAAGAAACTAAACATAGTCTTCCTTTTACCCAAAACTGGGACATACAGTAGGGACTTTGGTGGTATAGCATATGTTAACGGTCGAGAGTTTTTGATTTCCTGAATTGCCAGTCCTGCACCCATGTGGTGTTAGATGCATTCAGTCCATATCACTTTGGTGCTCATTTATGTGAGATCATTCCATTTTAAAGCTGTGGAATGATGGCCCTTTGAAGCTTACTTAGTGGTGTTAATAGCAGCAAGGTGTAAGATTCCTCTGAGGTGATGTCAGAACCCAAAGAAAGTGAAAGCTTCTGAAATAGGATAAAAATGTTTGAGGGATAATGCACTATTACAAAATCAGATAAACTCCTAATGATTTTAGGGAGCTAAAGTGGCCTCCACAATACTGGCACTATATATATATATATATATATATATATATATATATATATATATATATTTGTTTTTATATATATATATTTGTTTTTTTTTTGGAGCGGAAAATTTACAAGTTTACAGCTAATATTCTAATTCTATCAATTACAGATGCCACAGTTATTGACGCCTTTAACGTATTCCTCAAAACAACAAACATTCTAAATTCATCCATAAGTTATTAGTGTGTCTTTAAACTCTAAATTAAGAACTCACAACTTTATGTTATGTCGTTGTAAAAAAGACAGGATTAAGAGGGTCTTTTAGCCAAGCAAGGAGACTTGTGAAAATGTGTGTTGAATGTCATGAGTCAGAAAAATTTGGTATATACAGAAAGCCACTTAACGTGTTCATCATTGTTGGAGAAAATTTTTAAATATTTTACTCTCCTCTATAGACAAACATGAGAATAGTGAGGGAGGGAAACTAAAACTAAATTAAACATTCCGTTTAGAATAGCAAAGCAGAAAATAGTCTTTTTTGATCCCAAGCTGCTTTTGACACTCACAATGGTTTCTCAGCTATAATTCCTGCATTAATATGCAAAACAGAGGTGCTGCATGAAGGACCCCCATAGTGGTTTTCCTTCATTTCTGGCTCTGTGCTCTGTCCTGCCGTAGTCATTACTTGCAGTGACAGCAACAATTGTTACACATTGGCTTTGTCCTGAGTTGTAGTCCATTTTTGAAAATATAATTTGAACCCAAACCAGCCCTTTATTTGGTCAACTTTGCTCTTTTATCATCCCAGTGTCCAGACCTTAAACTTTCAGACAACCAGTGGGAGCGATAAAGCAAATTAAAACACAAGAGCAGGGTGACCGAGTGCGTCCTGCAACAAACAAAAAATCAAGTGATTGTTTTTTTTTTTCAAAAGCAGACTTAGGCTACGTTCACACTTCAGGCCTTGATGCTCAATTCCAATTTTTTTTTGAGAAATCCGACTTTTTTGCGTGGTCGTTCACATTTCCAAATATATGCGACTTGTATGTGATCTCCTGTGTGAACTGCATTGATACAGCTCAAGCATCCCGCATGCGCAGTAGAGGACGCAATGACGTCACAGGCCAGCATGCCCTGTGTTTACCGAATTAACCATTGATGGGCTCATCCAGCGATCTTTCTCAACCATAAAAACTCAATCTTTTCAAGATGGTTAAAAATAATACTACTCTCCACATCATCGCCTGCCATGGTTGTTGTTTTTCTTGCCGCTTCTTCATAGCAAGACCCAGAATAGGGACCTTTGTCAGGTATTAATGGCATTCAGGTCGGATGAATGCGACCTGGCCATTCAGACACAGGTCGCATTTGAAAAGATCAGATTCGGATTGGATTCAGGACCACATAGCTAAGTGACCTGAGTCGCATTGGAAAAAATTGGATCTGAGTTGTTCAGTCTGCCATGAAAGGATTAGATCCAGGTCGCATATGGGCCAAAAAAATCGGATTTGGGTCACTTCAGGCTGCAGTGTGAACATAGCCTTTGATGCAGTTTATTAAGATTTGCAACGTTCTATGGACTGTTTTAAAAGACAGAATGAACCTTGTGTTATCCTTTTTGCTGATAATCAATTAACTATTTTGGAAGACTTATATGCAATTATCTTGGGTAGCTCAAAAATTTGTATTTTCTCAATAACGTTGTCAGAACACAAGTACAGCTTAAGTAACTGCTTCCTTTCTTACATCAAAATGCAAAATGTTAAGCATGGGGTACTAACCTGAATATCAGGGGCTCATAATGATCTTTCACACTTTTTAAAATAACATATGATGACAAGTGGATTCTATTTTTTTTTTTAAACATTGGATCTTTAAAAAAAGGGCAAAAGAAGAAAAAAATGCGACACTGATCCTATTCAGCCAATGGTCAGGAAAGGCTGAATCCTGCTGTCTGATCCAAAAGAAGAATGTAGTTCAAAAGGCCTCAAAAACTGATGTCACAACAACAAAAAATGCACACAGTTTTTAAAGATCCCGACCGATCATATTGATCAACAAATTCACTTCTAATTGGTACCTGAACAGCAGGAATGGAATAAGGATTAATGGAAGATGAAGCATTATTTTATAATTTATATTTTCTTTTAAACAATGCACATTTCTGAGCCTGTATGCCTTGTAATGAACAGTTCCAAATGTTTTGTATAGATAATGCAATCTGGCAGGTGAAGCTAAAATATCAACAACATGAATATAAACTTTACTTTGCATGAAGATAAAAGTTGTTTTAACAAGTTATATTGAAATAATATTTACTTTAGATGTATCTAACAATGTCTCAACATTCCATTTTTTTATACTCTACAAATTAATGTGTTGTTTACAGAAAGCCCACCTATGTATCACCTTTAAATATTTAATTTATCCAGTTGATCCTCAGAGTTCCAGTGGAGTTTATTTCTTTATCGTCACCTACTCAGCCTTTTGATGGTGCCTATTAGGGTACCATACACTGAAAAAAATGCTGTAACCGCTTTTGGCATTTACTTAATCATATTTAGTTACTTTAACACAATTGTTTTATGTCCTACCCTGCTAACATGAAACAGTTGTATTTAAATAACTAAAAATGATTGCCAAAACTGTATTAAAGTAACACAATTTGCATCCCAAAAACGGTTGCATTATTTTTTTCAGTGTACATGTGTGTTTGTAGACAAAATGTGGGAGTTTGTTTAAGTTCCCCGAAAGAAATTGGCTGAAGCAGTGACTTGGCACTGACCTGATTAGGGAATGCAGCTTAGACTGTTTATCACATGTGGCTCGCCTGATGGTTGCAATCCTCAGGATCTAAAGTTTGCTAAAAGCCCTTTGGCTTGTCAGACTGTTTGATGGGTAATTATAATCAAACATGTGTTTTTTTTCAAAGCCAGGGAAAATGACTTAATATGTTTGGAATTATTACATGAGCCCCGAAGACAGCATCAAGTTGCTTTTTGGCTAATTTCCCTCTTTTAGTTTAACTTCTTCAGCTGTGAGAAAGTAAGTTAGAGTCCCAAGATATCAAACAAAATCAGGTTCCACAGACTTGACCCCACATTAAATGTGACCTTTCAGAGCTTTGCTAATCCATGTGTGAAATTGTTTTAAAGCCAGCTGATGCTTGTAATTAATGTGATTGGTTTTGGCTGGATCCAGCAGCGACCTCCCTGTGAGTACAATGACTCAGGCCTACCGTCTAAGTACTGCTGTTGTTTTCAGCTGAACCAATGTTGTCTGAAGAAAGGCCTGTGTCAGCTTTTAACAAGAAACCTTCACGTCTCGCAGCAACACACTGATTGCTAAGTAACACTTAGTTAGCAAACGCGTGATCAAAGGAAAGACAAAATATGATTTAACAGAAGTGATGTCAAGTTAGCTGGCCTTTTTATCTTTTATTCTCCCTTACATGACCAAAGGCATTTAGTTGTATCTATAGCATTGATGAAAGTGATTCATTTATACTTCTGGCTGTTTTTAATTTTGTCCCTTCAGGGTCCCCAAGGATTTCCAGGCTTGCCAGGGAAACCAGGGAAAAGGGGCCCTAGGGTA